CGCCGCACAGCATCACGTAGGCGACGGAGGACATCCCTGTAGTACTCTTTGGTGATTGTTTGACCCTGTGGTGCGTACTCGTGCCATTGAAAGGAACGCGATTTCAGACAAGAGAGGACATTATGGCTGCAACGACAGCCGAGCTAAACTCCATTTTGCAAGAGGCTTTCTCGGAATGCTTCCAACAATGGCGGCACCGCTGGGAGAAGTGTGTGGAGTGCCAAGGAGACTACTTTGAGGGTGATTAGGTTTCCAACGCTCCAGGTATGCCAGTTTTATTCCCCGGCCAAAGGTCGGATACTTTTCTCACAATCCTCGTATATCTCACTTTTTTTTTACAACAGTTGCAAAGAACCCTATGCTAAGGACACTTCAAAGAATCACTGTTAAGCAAACATGATAATGTAATTAAGAACAAAGCTTGAATTCAGTTTATTTTTAAAATATAATTTTCCTTGGATGCTTACCTCATAGGAAAAGTTAAGATACTTATCTAAGAACACTAAATTTTTAGTATTTTAGGAAATGAAACTCAGACTTATAGTAAATACTGCTATAACATCTTTATAACTCAACATTACCAGCTTACTTTTCTCTTCTGTTTTGTATCCTTTTAAGTTAGAAAATTCTTGGCAGTACAAGATACCTTGGAAGTTATGCTTGTATAACATTCAACATAGTTATGTTAATAATAGTTTCAGAACTGGCAAAAACAGACTCCTCTGAAAATTCCCATTAAAGAAATATGTTAAAAACAATAATAAACTAGTTTACTTTTGTGATCATGCATTAACTGTAACCACAGAGACATCATCAAGCTTAGAGGTTTTGTATCATTTTAACTTTAGCAGTTACCAACATGGTCTGGGAAAAGATGGAACTGAAGATTTAGCTCAAAAGTTGACTATCAGGAAATATGACAGCACCACCTGGTGAAAAGAAAACACAACATACAGACTAGGTTCATTTTCTTTTCTTACACGTTGTTCAATCATGAATGACTATTGTTTGGCACCAGACCATTAGATTTTCTATTCAAGGTACATTTGTTTCAACAAGATTTTCTGTCATCATCAATATATTTAAGAGTTTAAATTTAAGATTTTGCTAAGTTTTGAATAAAAGCAAGCTTCTACACAACCTTAATACAAGTAGAGAAAGTTAAACAATTTATCCTTCACCACACAATTACTAAGTCCAGTCTCCCCTGTCTTATGAACTTATAATAGTGTAGATTCTGGCTCAGGTTACAAGGTACCTAATGACGTTACCCGATGCTCAAAACTAAAATGTTTCATGATAGCTTTAGTATTCAAAGTTTTATACAAGTTCCAAACTTTTATAAGTACAATTTCAAGTTATAAAAATAATTTTTTTTATGGTGGAAATTTTAAATTATTGAATACTGTGTGTAACATAATATTTATGAAATTATTTCTTTGTGCCAAAATCACTATTTTGTATAGCTTTCAAATTTATATTGTGCTCACATAACCATTATGATACTAGCCTTTTGGAGTAATATTTCAATGTAAAACTTGCACAAAGATATAAAATTTTATTCAATTTTAATTATTACTGACCTTACCAAAACTCATGTTAACAGGAAATGAGAAATATTAATACCAAAATTCTAATGTTCATCGTTGCTAATGCTTAATCCATTTTGA